TATATATATATATATAAAACACTTTCCATAATTAAGTTAAGTTTTTTTTTCACAAAATAAGAATGTAGATTTAGCCAACTTTAATGCACTTATCAAAACAACAAAAAGAAGTATTAAAGGGTTTGTTTTAATGACAAACTAGTTTTCAAAATGTATCAATTAGCTTAACGATTTGCAAAAAAGTGGAAAAACACAACCTCGCAAAATAAGCTTTTTCCACAATATCTGTGATTTTCTGTTTGGATGCAGTGAAACACCCGCAGATGAAGCAGAAATCATGCGTTTTCTTTAAAAACACAAATGGTTGCATTTTCTTCAGTCTCTGGCCATGATTCAGAATTAGACATCAAATAATGTCATGCATGTGAAAACGGCTGAGAACTGATCAAATACTTGTAATCTAGCTCAGATTCAGACAGGAATCGTGTGTTTTCTGCTGAAATATTCATTTTCATTTATTTTACAGTGCAATTGTCTTACAATGCATGGCTATTACTGTCATTGTTGTTATTATTATTATATTCTAATGTGTTTGGCTTCCTAAAACAGCAGTGTGAATGTAATTTAGACTGAGACAGTAGATCACAAATTAAAAGAGGGTTGAGTCCTCTTTAAAGTTCAGCTACAAGTCAGTTCACTGGCTTTTTTCTGACTTCAGTTTTAGTTAAGAACCTGGGTTTCAGCTCTTAATTTTGAACTCTCAAAGTGCACTAGATAGAATAACAACTTTTAAATGTGCAAAAATTTTAATTTTTTCCAATTCTTCATTTGCCTTTTTTTTTAAATATCGCAATAAATATCATATTGTGGACTTCATATCGCGATATTATCGTATCATGAGATTTTGATATCGTTACATCCCTAATGAACTCTAAACTTTAGTTCTTATTTTCTATTGGATTCAAGTGATTGGCTGAGCCATTCTAGCAGCTTTACTTTCTTTCTCTGAAACCAATCGAGAGTTTCCTTGGCTGTGTTTGGGATCATTGTCCAGCCTTGTTTTATCTTCATCATCCTGGTACTGTAGGTGTTGAGACTGAAGCAGCTAACATTAATTTTCACTGACGAAGAGCAGGATTGCTTTCTAATTACTGATAGATTTCAGCTGGAGTCTTGGCTTTCCATGCCTTTTTGCACCTCCCTTTCTTCATGTGTTCAATACTTTTTCCCCTGTGTCATTCCACTTTATTACACAGAACTTTATGCAAACCGTTTTCTTTGCATGTATGGAGTTGTTATCGACATCCGGTGAACATGTCATGCCAACAGCACCTTTAGAACTATATTTACTGAGAAAAATGCTGACGTGTTCAATACTTATTTTACCCGGTGTATATCAATGAAACTGAAATCCCACTTTTACCGGACATGTTGAGGGAGGCCATCTTGGCCGGTGGGACGCAGGAGAAGAAGTTCTCCGTGCCAGAGTAAATAAAAGCGCTGCAGGACATCAGCATCTGCTCGAGATCTGCGAGACTGAGAGAAGAGCGTCACTTTCACACATTAATACCCAAGACAAAAACCAGCTCCTATAAATATATGTTTCACAGGAGTGTGAGGAGAGTTTGAGAGAGATTCAGACCTGCGTTTGCGCTCGTGGCCGATGAATCCTTCCCACAGAGGTGTAAATTGCGAAGCGTAGGTGTCGAGGGTCTTCCTCATGATCTCTGCTGCGCTGCTGCTATCTGAACAAACCAGGTGAGATGAAAGGGTTAAATTTAACTGCGTCATCATTTACTCGCCCTCGTGTCAAATCAGACCACTTTGAGATTTTGTGAACAATTTTTGTGAAAAAGTGACTCTCTTCCATACAATAAAATCAAAACAGTGATGGACACACCATGTCTGAATATGCATAAGAATGAATGAGTTACGACAGAGCTCTTGCATAAACATTATGTTTATGTAAAAATCTCAAATTATGTCTGTTCTCAAAAAAGTCTCAAATTAGACCAATTCAAGGTTTTTGCAACTGCAACTGATTAAAAAGGTCTTACAGAACAAAATCAGATGACTCAGTAAAAGCAGCTTATGCAACAGGCCACTGAAGAAGAGCAGAATAGTCTGGGGTTGGTAAGTTTTTTAATGTTTCTGCTCAACGAGGCTGCATTTCTTTGATCAGAAATACAGTAAAAATTGTGAAATATTATTACAATGTAAAACAGCTGTTTTCTATGTGAATATCAGTTAGAATATAATGTATTTCTGTGATGCGCAGCTGTATTTCCAGCATCATTACTCCAGTCTTCAGTGTCACATGATCTTCAGAAATCATTCTAATATGCTGATTTGATTATTATCAATGTTGAAAACAATTGTGCTGCACAATATTTTTTGTGTAAACCGTGACACATTTTATTTTTCAGGATTCACAGATGAATAGAAAGTTCAGAAGAACAGCGTTTATTTGACTTAGAGATTTTTTGTAACTTTATAAATGTCTTTACTGGCACCTTTGATCAATTTAACACATCCTATTGTGAATAATTCATCAGTGCATCTTTTGTCTTCATAATGTTTTTTTTACTCAGATATGTCACATTACAGAAGCTAAAACTAATTCCACTCACCAGCCTGCTTTCTATCATCTTCCTCCTGAGCATCAACTACATCTTAAAGCCTGTGTTAAGAATACATTTCTCCAAACTATTAACCATGTTCAGTCACTTTGCAAGCAGCTAATGCAATAAAAGCGAGCCGAAATGCAATGCAGCAGCTGAATGACTGCTCTGACATCTCACACACATGACAGATGCCCGTGAGATGGAAAACGAAGGTGGTTTAAAGCGAAGGATACATCTGAACCTGTGTGTGTCCACTGGGACGCTGTTTGGCGGCAGGACACGATTGACCGGCACCTGCAGAAGAAAGTGCATCCTTAAAGGTCACTGTATGCGAACTGAAGATGAGAATGTCGGACGGTGTACTCAGGGAAAACACATTATATAATTGACCAAAAGAGGCTGGTTAAAAGGGAAGGATGGAGAAATTAAACCTCTGAATGAGTGAAGGCCGCTAAAGCAATACTGCATTTCTATCAGCATCCGCCAGACTCATTTAGAGACTCACCGCTTTGATGCCTCGGCTTTGATCGCCTCTCCCCTTGACTCCTCTGCCACCTTTGGCTTCCTTTTTATTGTCACTTTCAACTGTGACCAACGAGAAAGATTATTAAAACAAGAAATGAGTGTCTGACACAAACAAGCGCTGTGCCAAACTCGGCCTAAAAAGGCCAGTGGCATTTAATATTGACGACTGTGTTCGCTTGTACTTCAGTAATGCAAATTTTAACGACCTCCAGCAAAAGTCACGCAAACACAATCAACACAATCACATTAAAATGTGAATTTCTTTGATCCTGTGAGGAAACTCAGACATGCAAACCGTTTACTCAAATAATAACAGGGTGCATGTTATTGCCTGATCAATTTGAATCAGGGCGTATTAAAGCCAACATGCAATCAGGAAATGTTCTGCTACAAATCGAGTCATTCGTTTGAAAACATGTTAAACAAATGATATTTGCAAATCCAGAGGCATAATTTTATTACAGGAAAATTTCATGCAAAAATAAAAATGTCTCCCCCTCAGGCTGCCCCAGATGTAGATGCGTTTGTTTCTTCATCAGATTTGGAGAAATGTAGCACTGCATCAGTGTCTCAGCAATGGATGCTCTGCAGTGAATGGGTGCCGTCAGAATGAGAGTCCAAACAGCTGATAAAAACATCACAATAATCCACAAGTAATCCACAGTCCATCAGTTAACATCTGGAGAAGACAAAAGCTGAAACTAATCCATCAAGACGTTTTTAACTCATTCTGACGGCACCCACTGCAGAGCATCCATTGCTGAGACACTGATGCAATGCTACATTTCTCCAAACCTGATGAAGAAACAAACTCATCCTAATCTCGGATGGATTTATGGTGAGTTAATTTCAGCATATTTTCATTTTTAGATGAACTATTCCTTTAAGCACAACCCAAAGAATGAAACGTCAGCAAAAGTGTTATGAACACTTTCAAAAACTCCAAAGACTACAATGACAGAGGAAGAATGAAAAGATAAACAGAGAAACACAGACACACAAACAATGACTGGTGAAGATGGAAAATATAATGCACAAAACCTCATTAAAGGACAAGAGAAGAAACGTGCTTGAAAAACACGCTGCGTTTGTGCCAGTTATAAATAACAAGGAAAATAAACTTTGCTAACAGCATGAATAAGATTAGTATAATATTGAATTTCCTCATTGTACGCTCAATGTTTTATGCAAAATATGTCGCAAAATAACAAATAGCTCCTTTAGTAAGTACCGCGTGGCTCTACGTCTTCCCGACATAAATAATTTTATTAAAGTTTTTAAACATTTTACTAAAGTATTAATTTAGATTTTATGCAAAACATTACTTTTATTATTTTATTTATATGATTTATAAACGAAAAATAAACCACTTTTCTGATTTATTTTTCCAATACAATGTGTTGCTTGATCAATGTAAACAAAAATAAATAAATAAATAAATAAATAATTGCAATCATAGACATAGACAATCATAGATCAGTTATTTTTTTATTTTCCATTTTCATTTTAGTTTCTTTTTTTTTTAAATGCACAGATTAGTTTAATTCATTTTTGAGTTTTAGTTGTAAATGTTTTTGATGGTTTGAAGTTTTAGTTAATTATATGTGCTGTCATAAAAATTCTAAGAACTTTATAATATTTATAATAAATATATATATAAATTAAATCATTAGAACATAAATGAGTAACAAATACAAACGGCACTGCTTCCAGTGAAGGAGCAGCGTGTGTACATATAATTTTCCTGTGGCTCAGTGGTAGAGCATTGTGTTAGCAGCGCAAAAGGTCGTGGGTTCGATTCCCAGGGAACACACATACTGGTAAAAAATGTATAGCCTGCTAAATGCATAAATTATTATTATTACACTCATCCTAATCTCGGATGGATTTATGGTGAGTTAATTTCAGCATATTTTCATTTTTAGATGAACTATTCCTTTAAGCACAACCCAAAGAATGAAACGTCAGCAAAAGTGTTATGAACACTTTCAAAAACTCCAAAGACTACAATGACAGAGGAAGAATGAAAAGATAAACAGAGAAACACAGACACACAAACAATGACTGGTGAAGATGGAAAATATAATGCACAAAACCTCATTAAAGGACAAGAGAAGAAACGTGCTTGAAAAACACGCTGCGTTTGTGCCAGTTATAAATAACAAGGAAAATAAACTTTGCTAACAGCATGAATAAGATTAGTATAATATTGAATTTCCTCATTGTACGCTCAATGTTTTATGCAAAATATGTCGCAAAATAACAAATAGCTCCTTTAGTAAGTACCGCGTGGCTCTACGTCTTCCCGACATAATGCTAAAATAATGCATAATGTGCTTTTTTGCTTTCATATGAGCATGAACACACTAAAGTGTGAGTGGACTGATATTATACACCCTGAAACAGGACTGTACAAAATCACACTGAAAAATACCAGTGCAGTCATTTGCATATGGCATTTTAGTGCTGAGGTCTGGAGAACTGGGGCATAATTATTCAAAGAAAAAGATAAATGTTAAAAGTTAAAGTTAACATTCGCATTAAATATTCAAATCCTTTTCACAGACGTCCAGACGCACCTATAATGATCAACATCAGAGTCATAGAAAGTGTGAGTAAAGCAACAGCTGAGAAACATCATTACTGTGACTCCTTTAGACATGATGCTGATCTTTCATAAATTGCTTGTGAGCACATGTTTCAAACAGGTTTGTCAGCGAGTATTTCATGCTAGTAATATTTAAGGCTGTTATTATTCACTGCACTGATCTTCAACTTCAACCCCAAAACGTCCTGAGTCACGGCATAAAACATGCTTTGAAAGAGAAATATTACTGGATATTGATATTTCATTTTAATTACAATGTGTGTTGGCACAAAAACACTTGCTGTTGAAGACATAATAAATATCTGTCTGACTTTTCCTTTTGTTGACATGGTTAGATTCAGATGGTTAATATCATTGGGTTTCCAGCTTAGAGATAATCAGCATATTTACAATGAAACCATCTTATTTAAAAATATGATGTATGTATGTATTTATTGTTACTACTGTAAAGCCACATTCAATTATGGGATCTCCATCAAAGATTTCAGAATGTTTACTTTTTAATAAACTTTTTACATTTTACATTTTAGTAAATTATATACTATTTGTACAAATAACTGCATCTGCTCTTTGAATAAAA